CTACAGTATCACAGTCCGGCCTTTGTTTCCACTGCTTCAAGTCAAGTATCAGGATAGAGTTACAGCAAAGTCTGTATCATCTTACCCATAATCTATAACAAATCAAAGCAAGGAGGTTAAGTACCCCCTCACACAGATGTTCACTTGTTGACTTTAATCGGATTACACGACTGTTAGGGTTGTGGATTTGGGGGAGGAGACCACAGCAGGTATATGTCCTGCCTTAGCTATCCGAGGTACACATACTCCCCCTTACCCTGTTCTCCCTCCCAAGGGAATAATTCTAGTGAAATGAGACAAAACCAAACAAATTTTTATGCTCCTGTCCCTACATATTACAGAAAATTGTTTTTGACAACAGTTGTATATTATGTTATGTTTTGTGAGCAATGACATTTCCTCTTACATGTCATAAAAAAACTTTTTGAAAGATAACAATTCACAATTGTTTCATTCACGTGAGGTTAAAAAATGGCAACTTCTATTGTCACCAAAATTTACAGCACAAAAAGGTATACATTTGTACCACATCCATCAGAGAGCTCTTTCTCTTGGTAAGAATTATGCTATTAACTCTGAACAAGAGGCCTTTTTATTGGCATACCTTCTAAAAAGATAACGCTTGAAATCTCATTACAATTTCATTAAAATGTCTAACTGCCATTGGTATATTGTTACAATTATTACTTGAATATTCCTTTACCTAGAGACATTTTCACTTAATCTGACAGCAAAATGATAAGATGACAAGGTTATCCATTAATCTTCCTTTAAGCAGTCTGGGCAAGACCTCGTCATTTTTATATCTCACCGAGACTGAATTATCCTCCTTGCGAACTAAATGGCACATCTGTAAGATGAAATTGATGGATTGGTTACTAACTTACTCATATGGAATTATGCAGCATGTTAATGTTAAACAAAAATAACTTGGGCACACTATCAACTATTGCCTTGTAAGGTAGAATATCTGCAAATCTCAAAATAAATGAACAATAATAAAATCACTTAGTTTCTGCTTGAGCATAATAACTTTTTTTTCTTTTTTTTTCATCCAGCTATTTCAGCCCAACCCTTGACTAAAGCTTAAAAGTACTTTTGTAAACCTGAAGTCTGAAATGGCTAGGGACAATTTTTTATGTCTGCGAAAGAGAACACAAATATAAATGCAAATGTTAGTGTAACTATACCAGCATGTGCACACAATTTTATGCATTTTCATTCACCTCTCTTATATATCACCAACAAAAAGTGAATGCAAATAGACTTAGGCTTCATTCACATGCAATGTCTANGGGGGGGGGGGGGGGGGGGGGGAGGGGGGGGGGGGACTAGGGCAGATGCGACCTCTCAGACAACAAAATCAACAGGGCAGAAAGATACCCTTTTGAAAAAGATGGAGGCTGATTGAAGACACGTGATGAAATTTTCTGAATGATTTTTTTCTGAAGAACTTGATCAACATTTTAAAACTTTTTTTTAAAACTTGGTACACAGACTGAAACATGTAGTCTTTTAAACGTCAAACCCCAATAGGTAAATAATTTTGAGACTTACAAGGAATCCACTCATCACACTCACAGACAGAAAAATGACATACCTGTTTAAATACAAACCCTACTGTCAAAACATGTGTTGATCTAGGTCTTCAGTCACCATGACAAAATACCAGCGACTTTAGTATCAAATACACCAAAGCTTTAAAACACTCACTTCTTTCTTCTCTCACCTGTTCCTATCTAACCTCCGTGTTCTACAGTATCACAGTCCGGCCTTTGTTTCCGCTGCTTCAAGTCAAGTATCAGGATAGAGTTACAGCGAAGTCTGTATCATCTTACCCATAATCTATAACAAATCAAAGCAAGGAGGTTAAGTACCCCCTCACACAGATGTTCACTTGTTGACTTTAATCAGATTACATGACTGTCGCGGTTGTGGATTTGGGGGAGGGGCCACTACAGGTATATGTCCTGCCTTAGCTATCGGAGGTACACATACCACCCCCCTTTACCCTGTTCTCCCTCCCAAGGGAATAATTCTGGTGAAATGTGATAAAACCAAGCAATTTTTATGTCCCTCTGCCCTACATATTACACTTAATCATTTTTGACAACAGTTGTATATTATGTTATGTTTTGTGAGCAATGACATTTCCTCTGACATGTCATAAAAAAACCTTTTTGAAAGCTGGCAATTCACAATTGTTTCATTCACATGAGATTAAAAATATGGCAACTCTTATTTTCATCCAGATGTACAGCACAAAAAGATATACATTTGTATCACATCCATCAGAGAGCTCTTTCTCCTGGTAAGAATTATGCAATTAACTCTGAACAAGAGGCCTTTTTATTGGCATACCTTCTAAAAAGATAACGCTTGAAATCTCATTAAAATTTCATTAAAATGTCTAACTCCTATTGGTATATTGTTACAGTTATTACTTGAATATTCCTATGCCTAGAGACATTTTCACTTAATCTGACAGCATAATGATAAGATGACAAGGTTATCCATTAATCTTTCCTTAAGCAGTCTGGGCGAGACCTCGTCATTTTTATATCTCACTGAGACTGAATTATCCTCCTTGCGAACTAAATGGCACATCTGTAAGATTGGATTGATGGATTGGTCACTCACTTACTCATGTGGAATTATGCAGCATGTTATTGTTGAACAGAAAAAAAACTTGGGCACATTATAAACTATTGCCTTGTAAGGTCGAATATCTGCACTTCTTAAAATAAATGAACAATAATAAAATCCTTTAGTTTCTGCTGAAGCATAATAACTTTTTTTTTTTTTTTTTTTTTTTTTTTTTTTTTTTTTTTGTATCCAAGTATTTCAACCCAACCCTTGACTTAAGCTTAAAGAGGTACTTTTGTTAACCTGAAGTCTGAAATGGCTAGGGACAATTTTTTATGTCTGCGAAAGAGAACACAAATATAAATGCAAATGTTAGTGTAACTATACCAGCATGTGCACACAATTTTATGCCTTTTCATTCACCTCTCTTATATCTCACCAACAAAAAGTGAATGCAAATAGACTGATATTCCACAGAATTCACAAGTACAACTTCCTTTGAGATTNCCTTTCACATAAGGGCTTTAGGCTGAAAATTGGTCTAAATTTTATGCCACAATTTCAGTCTATTTTGACCGAAGATAAATCAATAGTAGTCCCAGTAGAATGACATGCTGCACTTGTTTTTAAATTTATTTACAACAAAACCATGACTAATTTTTCAGGTCAGTGCTAACTTTATTTAGGTAGATCACTATGAATACACCCGTCTTGAACTAAAGAAGACCAAATTTTTAAGCTGAAATTCTTTTGGGAAACGCAGCCCCCAGGTCCAATAAAGTGTTTATGTGGCAAGACATTATAATAGTGATAAGAAAAGACAGCCAATATCAGATGTTTCCTGCCATCTCATATTGGAATTAATGTACACAGGGATGAATATCAGATTAGCTGAAAATTTAATTACGTTACCAAGCCCAGCACCGCATGAATTTTAATGCCTACCTTCAATAAATAGAGACATATCCACTCTCAAAGACGGTCATACAGTATTTTTGTTAAATCTTCAATATGAAAATTTGTCATTTTTCATTTGAGAAATACATATTTTACGTTTGATTTTAATGTATTATTTTAAATATATTAGTAAAATAAAAACCTAAAAATAGCCTCTTCTTCAAGGGGGTATTTTAGATTGTAAAATATCATTTTTTATTTACCTATCATCACTTTTTACTTACCTTTTTGTCAATTAAGTTTTTTATTATTGACATTGTTGAAAATTTTCCACTCTGTACCACCCATTCCAGTTGGTTATATAGACACTTCATTGATCCAAAAATAATTTCCATCAAAAAGAGTGAAAATTTATTCCAAGTGGACCTTTGTAATATTAATACCTAAAACAATCCATTTGTTACACAAATAACTCTGTAGAAAGCACAAGTGTAAATTTGAACAAAGACTTAACTTCCCCTCTCTAACTGCACAATGTGAGTGTTAAGTGCTCCAAGAATTGGGTTTTAAGTGTTAAGTTTTTCAGAAAGATCTAAAGGCTTACAGGGAGAGTTAAGTATTGTGCAAAAGGAAATGTTTTGATGAGCAGAGATATGGATTCCCTGGGTTTTATCAATGCATAGGCTTTCAGTGGAGGACGCTCCTGGTAAAATGTGTGGGCAAAAAGAAAGCTTTGGTCTGCTAAAAGGATCAAGGCTTGTATGTTTCTGCTTTCAAGCAACTCTGATCAAAAAGGGAGCATCCATATTCAGTGTGAATTAATAAAAGAAGAAAAGAAAAGAGAAGAGGAAACTTAATAAGAAAGGTTGACTTGAGCTTTCAAGGCAGAATATTGGATTGAAAAGCTTACAGAATGATAGGAGTTCACATCAAAGAAAAGTCAGTGTGATATTTTTGAATGATTCATCAACTAAATACTATGTTTATATTCAACACATAAACATACCTATTTGTGTTTTCAAATAACTCAAAATATTGTGGAGTTTTTCTTCCTCTCCATTCACAAAAATTATTTTCTAATAGTTTTTACATTTATAAGTTGTTTCTTTATTTCACAAAATTGCTATCGACTCCCATCCCACAATTGTAAGTAAATTGGTATTCTGGGAAGAATATAGAACCTTGCGCTTAAATGTTTTTCTTTATTTCTTTTGCTGTTTTCTTTTATCATTGAATTTAATAAAATATCCATCTTTTAAAATGTCCCCATTTTGATAAATTTTAATGGTGAATCCAGACCTACCAAAAAGACTGATCCCCTATACCTCCGCCCTCCCTTAACCCTCAACCAATATGAACGTTTTAACATTTTTTAAATGTTTAAACATTTCACATAAGTTAAAACTGCTGATAAGGTAATGCAATGAATATTCTGTAAAGAAATATGGATGAAATATCACCCCATGCCATTTGTAAAATGCCGTTTTTTTGTCATAAAAAATTCAAAAGAAACTTACCTTATTTCAACAGCAGCATGATGTAGCACTGAAAAGTGAACCTCAACTTCCTTTATCCTTGATGTTAAAATAGAAATTGTCCTGTCCAACAGAAAACGATGTCCAGTTCAAAACAAAGAGCAAGAGTAATGTCTGAATACTCTTACTTTATCCACTTCAGTAGAACTGTCACCTTAATTTCCACTTGTCACTTTAGAATACGGTCACTGACCACTCAAAAATGTCCACTGTGGTCACATCATGCTTTCAAATAAGAAAAAAAAACTTGACAAATCATATTGATGAAAGGCGCCTGACGGTCATGCTCCTCTTCAGTCTGGTGTAGACCTGTTGTATCTTCACCCAAGTGTCCACTTCAGCTGGTAAAACACACGGTCCCCTTCAAACAGGATAACTTAATACATTCGCATTGTGCATACAAACTGCTTTCTATTGTCCAATTTCCGTCACACAAATTCTACTTACAGCAGGTTTGCCTTGACAACCCGGATAATCAGTTTTATCCTTTCCCTTAGTGCACCCAACAATTAATCCCCAATTAGCTTCGATATTAAGCATCCAAGGCAGGTGCCCCCTGTTGGTTCTTTTTGGTCACTGACGAGGATTTTTAATATATGGTAAGCAATATTCAGTTTCCTGGGCCCAAATATTTAGTATGGGGACCAAACATCTGGATGGAGTCACTTATTGAATGTTTTGATTGCCTAAGTGAGGCTCAATTTACCTTAACGTACCTTGCACAAACATTGATTGTGATTTAGTGCAAAGTGGGTGTAAACTTGGGGTTATTAGCATTGATGAAGGCAGGCCATGTTTTCAGAAGAAATTCTTTGCGTAAATGTGCAGCATTGTGATTTGTTTACAGTCCGTTTGGCAAGAAAAACAAAGTGAAGCTGCATCAACAAAAGACTACTGCTTCATTAACATGATCAGAGTAAAAGCTCACATCAGATGATATTACGTATAAGACAACATGAACTGCTTCAACTTTTCTATAATCAAAATTGCTTACCAGTCACTGTGTTTGAAAAATTCTCAAATAAATTTGTTTTTCCTCTGAAAATAGTTGAAAAAAGATAATCTAGTGTGTTTGTTGTAGTAATTATATTTTGAAACTTTTTATGCTCACTTAGAATACTGATAAATACATATAGGTTGATAATCAATTCACACACTTACATAATATTTCAAAATCCTTCTTATAATCCCTGACCCAAAGAAAGCATAAATAGAGAGTATGTATACTGGTTTATTTTTTTAAAGACTTCTTTATTCTTAATACTTATAAAAAGGGATTAGATCTTGAGTAAATATTCCAAATAGAAGCAGATGTCACCAGATCTCTTTACATACATCAAGCTAGATGTCTGCCAATTGCATGTGATTCAACTGAAAAGTTACCACAACATTCAATTTTGGTCATTGTTCTTATGTTCAGTAATAATACACACCCATTTACTGCAGAAACCAATATTAATCACCAAGCCAAATCATCAACAATTATTTGGACTAATTCTCCTTTTTCAAGTCAGTTTCAGCAAGATTGTGTTAGTTGAGACAGGTCAGATTGTGCTGTAGAAGATTGTCAAGTTGTGAGTGCAGCTGTAGGTCAGAAGTTCCCCACTTCAATTTTCCAATCATTTAAGCCACTTGCCAGCAAAAGCCACTACATACTTCAAGTATGGCAATCCTTCAAACTATAGATTTACAAATGTGAGTGCTCAGAAATATTCATATTTACTTTACTGTTGCTAAAAATATAGAAAAATATTAATAGAATGAGGAGGAAGATCTAGAAGAACTGAAGTTCATTAATTTTGAGAAACATCATAATTTCCAGTGCTACAACAGTGGAGAGTCATCCAACCTAGAAAGTCGAACCATATCAGCCATTTTCTTATATCACCTGACCTGACACAATCTTGTTTTTAGTTTGACCCCAAAACCTGACCTTGACGGCATTTAAGTCTGACCTTCACCTTTTGCCTGGTCTTTATCTTCAACAGGTCTAAGACCTCTGATAGTAACGTCATACACAACTTCTTCCACTTTCTTCAGATCATATTTGAGGGCATCAAACCTTTTACGTAGTGAGTCATTTTTCAGATTCAGCAGTCTGAATCCAGAGTCCAATTCTCCGACAAATTTGGCAATTCTCATAGGACGTCCATAGTCTCCAGCAGTTACGGAGTTGACAGCAAGGCGGGACTGGAAAAACACGAAATTAATATATAATTGTATATGTATATGTCATACTTAGTGATAACCTGTTTTAACACCAAGAAAATATACTTGATGTAGAAAAAATTTATAAAAATAAAAATTATAATCTAATATCTTAATATTTTTAGTCTTTTTAGTGTTAAGATAATAACAAAACCCAATATGTAACAATCAGAAGTGAAAATTGACTTTCATCTGTAATTATCATACAGGCAAAAAGCAAATAAATTCAAATACTGAAAAATTGTCAAAGAGAAACAAAGGTCACATAATTCATAATAATAATCACAATTCATCAGAATTTACATCTCTAATAATTAGTAATGTGAAAAATACTTCCAGATCTTACCAGTTCACTTGCCAGCTGCAATAGTCCCATCAAGAAGTCGTCCAAATCAATATGGAACCCTTCTCCTCTGATAACTTTTACTGGAAAATAAATCTTTGGCATTTAAATATGCTACATAAATATTCATACTTACAATGCTGCTTTTATTCCAAGTGTGAGGCTGGTAAGGCAAAAAGAAAACATATGCATGTAATAAGATAGTAAAATTCTTAAATAATGGAAAATCAGAGGTTAAAATTCAGTTATCTATACAAATATTATCTAAGAGCCTCTGACTCTTACTTGGTGAATCACACTGAATTCATTCAACTGCCTAATTTTCTTATGAACATATTGTCTATGAAAAAAGTCTGGGTCATAAACCACATTATCTTACCTTGTAATACACTGGCTACCTCCTCTCTGGTAACAAGTGTCTCCTGTTCAAAGTAATGGATATATGCTATAATATCTTACCTTGTAATACACTGGCTACCTCCTCTCTGGTAACAAGTGTCTCCTGTTCAAAGTAATGGATATATGCTATAATATCTTACCTTGTAATACACTGGCTACCTCCTCCCTGGTAACGAGTGTCTCCTGTTCCAAGTAATGGATATATGCTATAATAACTTACCTTGTATTATACTGGCTACCTCCTCCCTGGTAACAAGTGTCTCCTGTTCCAAGTAATGGATATATGCTATAATAAAGACAAGTCTTTGACTCACAAACCTCCAGTGGTCATGGTATCTGAAAATAATTTTTAAAAAACCCTAATACTGTTTACTACAAGACTAATGACAGCAGTGTTGGGTTTGCATACTTTTAGTTATTATGTCATTAAAATATTTTAAAAAATATTTTGGATATCATGCATATCACATATGACTTCAAAGAATATAGAAGAGAGTGGCAACAGAAAGAATAGAAAAGTAGTATGTACAGTGCAACAATGAATAAAAGCCGATTTACTGCACCCATGAATATTTCTCTGATCCTTTTCTCTAAGGTCTTGTGAATTACAATCTATTGCACACTAGTGCAATTTTACCATATTTTGTATCTTGCTTTAATTTGTATTTTTAGCTAAATGGAAATCCAAGTGCAAAAAGTTTTGCCCTTATTGCAAAATAGTTTACCCAACCTTCAGTGGATTATTTATTTATTTTTATTTATTTATTTATTTTATTTTATTTTTTTTTTTTTTGTTATGCATAACATCACACAGTGCAGAAAGCCTCATTTTAGGCTAGCTTAGATGATTTTTAAAAATTAAATTAAAATTGAAAAATTTGATAGGACTGTACCTGTAATATTCATCCTTGGGGATCTTAGCTGCTAAATCTGCTAGCTGCTGTCTTATCACTGGGAACATGGCTCTGCTTTTAGCACACACATCAGATACTGGGGAGATAATGTCAGCATTTCATGCATCATACTGATCAAGTTTAACACCTTATCAGAATTAGAAAGACTAAATAATTATCACTGAAAACAAAATAGCCATTTCTAAATTAACCCTGAATATGTACAAAAGTTAAATTCACAAATTTGGTCTTTTTTAAATGTGGATTAAAATTGTGAATAAAGGTGAACTTCTTTTTCATTCATCTATTATTTTTCACTTTAGAATAAAGTTATAAATCATGCATCTCTTTCACAATAACTGACAGAGTCCAGATCCAACTTTTGTAGCTAAGGTTTTTACTTTAATAAATAGGACTGTTTCGTATAATCACAGGAATACTCAGATACCACATTGTACAAATACTGAGTAATAATAATAATACAATTGCAGTGTTTATTATAATAAGAACTCGATCTTGTCAATGTTGGGAAATTGTGAATTTTAGAGATATTGTATTTTTCAAGTCATAATTTCTTGAAATTAGAGCATTCCTATCGAGTGCTAGCAACAAAATTAAAACCAGGTTACTCTATACTGCAGTACTTCCATTCTGTGCAGTAAGAGCATCACAGAAATATAATTTTTGAGATTATAAAATTATGCATCTGAAAGTTTGATAATTTTTGCCCATTGAAAAAACTGAGTCATTACTGTACCTACCATGTTTTATTCCCTCAGGCTGGTGTACAGACTGCAGGACTGTCAGCACTTCTCTAGCTGACTGCTCTAATGTTCGTACCAGCACACGGATTTCCTGAACACAAAAAGCTCTTTTAACAATCTTATAAGAGTGCTTCATGCGTCTCATGCATTACTTTGTGACTCTGTGTATGTGTGTGTGTGTGTGTGTTTGTGTGTCTGTGTTAATCTTCATCCAAGTACCGTGTAGAGTCAATCACTTTCAAGAATCAGTGAATGCCAATGAACTACCAGAAGAGTACGCGTACGTCATAAAAATATATTTAAATCATGATTAAGAAAGTATAAATAAGCAATTAACAAGGAAATCTTGGAACCAACCTCTCTCATATCTTGCTCTTTTGTTATATAGTCCTGAAAAGAGGAAAAAATGTCCTGGGGCGACTTGTTTTCTGTCATCGCTGCCTGAAATTTCGATCCACATGTATCAGCTCGGTAATTAGGTCAAGTGTAGGTCCGCACTTTACAGTCCGAATCGTCATTTCGATAAGAAAAATTAAAAATTAAAGTAATTTTTTAAAAACTGTTTCAGAGAAAAAAAATTGTTAGTTATAGAAGGTGACGTGTTTTTTTTTTTTAAGTGCATTAAGTGACACGGCATTTAAACTGTCACGTACGTATGTTACCTCGTTCGAACTAAGTCACGCAGACGATGCCTTAACGGGGTAAACAGTGTTTAGGCCTACTCTATATTCTTACAGCAGTAAAATACATATTCTGGAACTTAGGCTACTGAGAGTACTGCCCGTCCCTTCTGTTTAGTTGGGACACCACGTTTCTTTGGTGGCCGAACGGAGACAATTAATGCAATATTACAAAATGCTTCATAGCAAAATCACCACCAATTTTATAATCTTTTACTGTAAAATAAAATACCAAATTTTTCGGGGTCTTTCAGAGGGGGGGAGGTCAGCTAAGCATCTGCGGACCCTCCCCCTACCTTCAAATAACCCTGAATCCGCCCCTGAGTAAAAAAGGTTTTTAAAAAACCTTTTGGATAATATTCGCACCTTATTGATACGAACAAAAATTAGACTGCGCTAAAGGGGTATTACGAGATGCACATTTATTTTACTGACACATTTTGTCATCAACTTAACAATAACTGTTTTCACAGTCTAGCTGAAGATCAATTACAATGCCTGTTAGAGAAGTTTTTGCAAATTACAGCTATGAGAAGGCAGTTTCGTCTAAAACAATTAATTAACTGTGTCTTGTCTTGTTGTCGCTATTCATGGATTTAACTGAACTGAAGATTCTTTAAATGGCTAAAATATTACAAAAACATCAAACAACTAAAAATAATGATCTGTGGCAAAAGACCTCAGGCATTTTTTCTCGATTTTTAAAAGCGAGGTGACACGTACCGCAACGTATAGTAGCGGTGATCTATTTAAATAAACGTAAACAAAGGCATTTTCTAAATCATCATACTCGCTTTGATTCTGTACTTAAGTGAAAATAAACTAGATCGATTGGAGAATGTGAGATGGCGCTGCGAACAACTGTAACGATGATTTAATTTTTAGTCCGTTCATGTTTTTCAACGAAAACATTCATAATAAGAAATTGACCATTAAAATGTAAGCTCTTTTCAGCAAGTTAAGTTGTATGCTCGCCAGTGAGATGTGTAATGATGACCACTCAGACTTATAACAATGTTAAAACACGTGCAGTTTTCAACTAAGGTTTAAGGGGACAAAGTAAACGTATAAATGTGAAATGTTTAATTTCAATTTTTATCTTATTGCCTTATTCATTATTTTTCCTTTTTTTTCTCTATTCATGCTACTGGTATCAGAGTAGTGGCAACACAGAGCCATGAAGGGAGGCGTCCGTTGTTAATAAGTGGTGGATTTGGGGGGGAGGGGGTCAGGACCTTACGATTTCTGAAAAAAAATCACACCAGTGAAAATAGAATTTTGACTAGCTGAATCATAGTTCTAAACCGTACAAAATGGCACCGTTCGCCCTCTTAAATACCAAATAATTCCGGGGCCCTTCAGGGGGCCATGAAACCCACGCCAAGGGGGGGGGGGGGGGTCGGCTTCTCATCCGCGGACCCCCTTCAAAAATCCTGGATCCGCCCCTGATTACTATATCAGTCGATGTTTTATACGCAAAAATATTCATTTGTTTCTACTACCTGGTATAAGTTAATCAAGATTTTTCATGTGACCTGCTGCTGGTTTTCTTTGTTTCATTAAATCACAATTACTTGTTCTTCATTTTTCAGAGTAACAAATCAGTCGATTGTAAAATGTGTTTTAGAGCACTGAGGTGGCTGTGTATGGCAAGTCCAGCGTACTTTCAATGTGACTCATTACAATTCACTACAATGGAAACAACCATGTTCCCTCCGGCTGCCTCGAAAATGCACTCACTTTACGCCCTATTACATTATCCACATTTTGATCATTGTTGGAATACACACGTACTATTGTGACGTGGCCTGCGAGAAGTTCAGTTTAACGGACATCGTGTCTATTATAATTTTGGGGAGAAGGTATGTTTAATCAACAATTGTCATCAAATTTGCCTGTACATTTCGAAGTCACTGCTTAGTTTCTATTACTCTTATATTAAAATAAAGTGATAAACAGAATAATCAAAATAAAAATAGTAAATAAAAAGTGTATGTTAGTTGGATCTTATAATCAATTTTCCGCATCACTATCAAACGCCATTCCCTATGAACAAGTTGACCATTGGTGACAACAGGAACGCCACCACGTGACAATATATCACTGAAGGTATAAAAGCGCAAATTTTTGAAATTGCGTTCATTCAACGCAGACAGATCTGGAGCAACAAGATGGATGCCATGTGCTGCGCCACGTATCAAGCAAAAAGGACAAAGGAGTCGACTCCCATTTCGCCGAATGTTTTCCTCATCCCAAGCCAACGCATCGCTCATCGAAATGTTTCTTGCACAAGCAGTCGTCTGGACGGTGGATTCGACGTGTCTCTAAGCTGGCCAGCTTAAGCCTTCTCTTCTCTTCTCTCCACGAGGAATCGTCGCTCAGGAATCTTCGCAGGATACATCGTCGGATTTCTGTTGTTGTGGGCTGTATTGTTGTAGTGTCATTGCATGTATTTCTATGCATTCCATGTTTCTTCTTATTGCAGGTCCAGGAAGCAGAGTGCTGACATAGGTACGAAATCTCATTAATTTTCCTTTTTACTTTCTGTTTACAGTCGATTCTGTCGATTTCTGTCAATTCTCGACAGAGCTCCCACTGACAACTGAAAGGAAAAGAGGGCCACATCTACACGACACATACTTCGATCAATCCTTGGTGCCAACGAGTCCTGCCATAGTCTACGAGATGGTTCCATTGGGGAAGCGTCCAGAGAGCCCTGCCACGGTCTGTCTACAAGGTGGCTGCATTGGGGAAACGTCCAAGGCATATGGTGTTTCAATGAGATAGAAAACCGTTAAATGTAAGCATGATTGCAGAGTAATAATAATAATAATAATAATAATAATAGCAACAATAATAAAAACAATAATAAGAATAATTATTTTGATAATCTTTATTGAAATATTGCTGACATAGGTAGGAAAACTCGTTAATTTTCCTTTTTTCTTCCTGTTTACAGAGCCCCATTATTGCGATTCTCGACAGAGCTCCCACTGA